TCCTAATTTTAGTTTCTTGGACTAGCTTCTTTACCCACATCCATCCTTGATGTGGGAACCCTTGCCTATTTAACACTACACTTGGGTGATGGTGTAGTTGACCTTGCATACTTATCGTTGTATTTAGGCAATATAGCATGTCGCTTCTATTGGACGCCCTAGAATTAATACTATTTTTTTAAAGGATTCATGTCATGATTATTCGATAAGTTTTACTCTGGTTGTCTACTACCTAACACAACCCTCCATTTTCTCATATAAGACTTGGGACTTGTCAATGGTAGTGTTAAAATAAAAATAGGGTTAAGGTTATCTACAATTATCAAATTAACTTTGCTAATTTGGAGGACATTATAAATACCTTAAAGCCCACTTTCTCTCTCTCTCTCACTCTCTCTCTCTCTCTCTCTCTCTCTCTCTCCTTATTCTCCTCCCCCTCTTCTCTCTTTCTCTCTCCCTCTCGCCCCTCTCTCCTCCTCTTCTTAAGTGCGCATCATTTCCGCCCAACTGTTTCTCTCTCTTGGCAATTTGTAGTGAGAGAATCTCTGGGTATGGCAAGGTGTGACCGAAGGTCTCCCCCCCGCTCAAGTGGGGGCGGTGGTGACGACAGAAGGCGTTCGAGAGTAGGATTTGGCGGCGATGAGAGAAGGCGATCGGGAGTAGGATCGGGAGGTGCGAAGAAATCTGGTGATCGGTCTCCTGGAAAAACTGTGACGATTAAGGGTAAAGGAAAATCTCGAGATACTGGTAGATCTGGATCTGATGGAGCATTGGAGGGAAGGTGGGAGGCAAAGCCTCGTAGCTTGGACTCCAAGATGATGCAGCTGACGGCGAAGGGAGGGAGTGTTCCGTCCAAAGCGACTGGAGGTACTTCGGAAGTAGATCTGGCTGTTACGGCGAGAGAGGAGGTGAAGCTGATTCACAATCCAACGTTCCAAGCTGGTGAGGCGTTGATGGAAGTGGAAGACAATGCTGTTACTCAGGATCGGGAAGGTGAGATGAAAGGAATGTGTGAGACGGAAATGTTAAATCCGGTGGTTAATGCAGTGGAATCTACGATGGAGGTGGAAGAAAGTGACCCTGCAGTGGATTGTAGATCCGAACCAGAGGAAACCTTTGATGTTGATGCGGCATTGCCGCGACGAACTTGTCTGTTGGGTGTAAGTTCGGAGCTAGACAGTTGGAGGAAAGAAGAATTGATAAAGAATATCAGCAATGTATGTAATCAGCAATCGGATATGGATATTGCTGGAGCAGATGATGTAGGTGTGAATGGAATGAGAACTCGTTCTGTTGGTTTAGATATACCGTCCAGTAGCACTCAAGCTAGCTGGTTGTGGAAATGACGAGGAAAGGAAAACTAATGCTGAAATGGGTTAATTGAAGGAGAAGAGCACGGCTCAACGAAGTTTTTTCTCGGCTGGGGATGGAAACCCATGGAGGAAGCCAGAACATATCCCAATTCTGCATCCAGAAAAGCTAAATGAAATATCAGGGGATGGGATCTCTATTGATTTAAATTTTGAACGGGTGAAGACCAATATGGAGATGCTTGATCGAGCGGTTGTTGGGAAGATCTTGGGCAGACGGGTTTCATTTTATTTGTTGAAGTCAGAAATTCAACGCCAGTGGGGAAGATATGGTGAATTTCAGCTCACTACATTGGGCTCTGATTGTTTCATATGCATTTTTACTACAGTGGAAGCTAGAGATGCAGTTTTATGTGGTGGTCCTTGCTTTATTGGTGGTAATCTAGTTGGCTTGGATAGGTGGACGCCATCGTTCTCCCCGGCGTCGATGCAGGGGTTGACTTCTCCGGTTTGGATACGGTTGCCTAACCTTCCGTTACAGTATTGGGATGAATGTAATATTGCTAGAATTGCTACGAGGATTGGCATTCCGTTATGGATTGATGCTCAGACAGGAAATTGGGGAAGAAGGGAGTATGCCCGGGTCTGTGTCCGGATGAACTTGGCTAATAAGTTGCAGGCAGGAATATGGGTGAATGGGTGGAATGGTAGATTCTATCAGAAGGTGGAGTATGAAGGCATTGGCAGTATGTGTTGTGGATGTGGTAGCATTGGACACCGTAAGAAGAATTGCCTAGGAAAGGGTGAGAGACCAACTAATATGTTGAATAAATATGCTGGAAATGATGTGAGACAGGCAGAATTGGCTGAGGAGATTCCCAAGCAGGTCTCGGGAGGCATGGGAAGAGTTGAATCGGGGCAAACTAAGAGGACTGTTCCTGTTAGTATCAAAACGAAAGGAGGAAATCTGCCACAACAGAATGGAAGTAGTAATGCTGGAAAGAATGTTGCTTCACAACAGGATAAAAGGGATGGGTATCTTGAGAGTGATGGAGCCTTACAAGGAGATGATGATCAGCTGGGACCTTGGCTTCAGATCCCTCCTCGCAGACGGAGGAATGCTCGTCCACATACTAGAAATAATGGTAATTTCAATAACATACAGAAGACGAATTTCCCCAAGCAGGTGGATTTGAGTAGATTTTCGAGT